GTAATTATTGTTTTAATGAATCAGATTACACAGTACCGGTTGGTTGCACGGTGTACTAGGAATTTGGAAATCTTCATGCCATACAGGAATCTGTCATCTTAATGGCACTTTGTGACAAAGTCTAAACACTGAATTTTTGTGGCATGTTTAGCTCGTTTCACTGTGGTAATTCAAACTAAATATTTTTTAAAAACTGAAAATGATTCAAAGTTGAAAACAATGAGACTGTTTACCTTGGTGGTTCAGCTCTTGCCCATGGGGCTCAGACCAACCTGGATTTATTTCTGGCTTTGTCACCTCATGACGGACCATTGGGGTCTTTGACTTCAAGCTGAGGAACTTGGGAGATTGAAAATGGTGTCAGGGGTTGGGGCAGGTGTGGCTCAGGGTCAGCGCCCGTGGGTGAGCCTTGTCCAGTGCCTCGGTTTCCCCCTCAACCCATGGGTGAATAAAGGTTCTCTTGGGACAGAAATGCAGGTGACCTCCAGAGTGACCTTGGGAGCCACAGGTGGGAGTAGGTCACAGAGAAGGAATTGGTTGGTGAGAACAGAGATCTTCCCGCCTCCATCCCAGGGTCTTCTGTTTTTACTTTATGTGAGGAACAAATGTCTGTTTTTTTGTTTTTAAAGTGGTTCTGCATTTGCTGCTGGTGGTTTTGGGAGGGTGGCGTTGCTGTCCATGTGGTGGGGTCACAGCCACCTGGAAGATGCTCCTGGTGTGGGTGAGGTGCCCTCAAGCTGGCGCCAGAGCTGCAGATTCACAGGGTTGTGCAGGTCGCCCAGAGGCGTCGTGTGGCATGCAGTGTCTTTGACCTGGATCGGAGCCCTGAGAGCGTGAGGGTATCAGCTAGCCAGCGGTGTACTCTGAGATGAGGTGGACCAGGGAGGATTGGGCTAGCTGTTATAATTTTCAAAACTGGGGTCTTCACGGGGGCTTTGGTGTTCCCTGGAGGAGGCGCCTTCTTCGAGGATGGTGACTGACTGCTGCAGGGCTGGGACAGTGGGCAGTGATGGCGGCCATGTGTGCAGATGGCTGGCTGCTTCCCCGGCCTTCAGCTCTCCTGCCTGCCGCCCCCGTTGATGAGCAGGGTCTTAGAAGAGCCTCTGGGAAGGAGTGTTAGTTTCCGGAACATGCCAGGGGGCCTCTTGCTGTCCTGCCAGGGAGGTTGCTGGCCGTAGCAAAGACATTTAAGCCACTCTGAGTATGAGTGAGTGAGGACGCAAGGCCACAGAGCTGGCCGGTATTTCTTCCAGAGCTTCGGTTCTTGTTAAAATCCAAAGTTCTAATGTTATAGCTTAGTTTTCTCTTTGATCCCACGTGTTCGCTGCGTTTTCCCTGCACCACCCCAAGTCTGTATTTCGCAAGCTGAGCTAGCTTAGTCTAGCAGGACTTTCCTGGGGTCCCAGCCAAGCCGCCTTGCTTGCCTGGTTGCTCCTGGAGCTGTGTCCTTTGGATGGAGGTGCTGCTTTTAGCTGTGTGTGTTCACTTTAAGTAGAGAGCTTCTAATAGACTTTTAGACCAAAGGTCATTTTCTCAACAATATCGTCGTATTCTTGGTCTGACACCTTTATTCTCTGGCTCCTCTTACCATCCTAGTGCTCTCACATTTTAGTATTGATTTTTAAAGAATGATTTGTGCCTAGGCCTTTCTGGTGGCTTGTACTTTAATCTGGCAAGAAATCCAGAATCATCTAGTTTCAGATATGTGGAGAAAAATGCTTAAAAACTGCTATTAGATATTTTTATTTAAATTCATTAACTTAAAATTAAAAATTAAAGTTTATTAAATTTATATTTAAATTTATTATGCAGTAGCTTTTAAGACGTCTTTGCTACTTAGGGGAGTGTGTCTGCTTGACAGTCAAATCCCCCCAGGGTCTGTACCCTAGAGTGCATCATCGTCTGTGACCTCGAGTTTCCAGTGAGATGATTTTGGCTGAGTGACTGCGCCCGTCTTCGTGATGCCAGACGCCAGGCGTGTTTGTTTTAAAGCAGACACAGCGCCCACTGGCTTTAGAGTATTTCAAGTACTGACAGCCTGCAGATGCCTTGTTAGCCAGCTTAGAAATGTGCTGTGACCATTCCTTCGTTTTTAAGTGATGTGACTCAGGTCTCAGATCCCAGCGCTTCGCTGTGTGCTGTGGTGTGTGAGTCTGTGGAGGTCGCCAGCCCTGGGAAGAGCCAGGGTGTGGAGGGCTTTAATAACCCGTCCTGCCTGCTCCCAGCACCCTGTACGTTTTGATAAGTCTTGAGGAAAAAAAGGAATAAAATGCAAATATGGGGCTGGGGTTGTGTCTCAGTGGTAGAGGCTTGCCTAGGTGGTAGAGTGCTTGCCTAGGTGGTAGAGTGCTTGCCTAGGTGCGTGAGGCACTGGGTTCGATCCCCAGCACCACATTAAAAATAAATAAGTAAAAACAAATAAAAGTATTGTGTCCATCTACAACTAAAATATATTAAAAAATGCAAACATAAAAAGAATGGACTGTAACCAGGCAGCTGCCTAGGAACCCCGATTTCCAGGTGACCAGGACGATGTCCCTTGTTTTACTCCTTTCCATTTATCTTCTTCCCAAACACATACTTTTTACACTTACCTTATGTAAACATCACTCTGCAAAAACAGTAGTGTTTCTGGTTTTAAAGAAAAGCATAGCATTTTAGGTGCTATGTGGATTTTTCTTTTTTTTTTTTTTGCAGTACTGGGGATTGAATCCAGGGCTCGCACATGCTAGGCAAGCACTTCACCCCAAAGCTACATCCAGCCCATTTTATTTTATTTTGACATAGGGCTTGCTAAGTTGCCCAGACTGGCCCTGAACTTGCCATCTTCCTGCCTCAGCCTCTGGATTAGCTGGGATCACAGGTGTGCACCACTGTCCCCGGCCTGTGTGAATTTCTTTAGGGTGGATTCCTGCTGGTTGACTCATTTAAAATTATACCTTTAGGTATCTCTCATGTGCTTAGGACTGTGAAGTACTTTAAGGAGGTCATGTTGAGGTTTCTAATCTACTGACTAGTAATTGGAAAAACTTAGTCATGGCTCCTCAATAAGGGATTAACATTTTTTTTTCTGTAATTAACCATAATTAACGATAAAAAATTTACTAATACTTCACAAATAAAAACTTGAGTTTAAGCTTTTCAGGAAAAATTCAGTGTTGAGTGACCTTCCTTTACTTGAGGTATTAAGTTAAAACTGCTTGGTGTAATCTGCACGGCCCCTGCCTGACAGAGTGGGTGGGTCTCCCACCTCCTTGGTCTCACCCATTGCCTGCCGCTGTCCCCTGCCCACTTGGCTCGGTTCTGTTCTGTGAGTGTGGTAGGTTCCCTGCCTTAGCACCTTGCAGTGGCCGGTCGTCTGCCTGGTGCGCTCCTCCTTTCCCTGGGGTTGGTCCTGCTGGTCAGGTCCCTGCCATTTCAGGAGACCCCCCAGTCTGCAGTGGCTGGTCAGGTGCTCCCACGTTCTGGTGGTGTGTCCGTCGGCGTCTGCCCGCAGGTGGGATCGTTCTGAGTGTTCATGTACTTTTCTCTTTTCCATCCTTTCCCTGGAACATGCAGTCCAGCAGGCCAGGGACCTTTGTCTTTTTGGTTCAAGAAATACTTGGGGGAACCAGCGAGTAAGGGTGGCCCAGGGCGGGGAGGAATCCTGTGGGGGCGGTTTTCTCTGTGCTGGGTGATCCGCTGGTGATTTTCTCAGGTTTGATCCTCCTCACTCCTGGAGGCAGCTGAGCTCTCACTGATGTAGAAGTTGAGTAACTGCTGTCAAACCTGTGGTCACCCCAAGGCTGGGCACTCAACAACCTGTTTTTCAGGTTTGTAGCAGTTCCCTGGCTAAAGCCTGCTGGGGACCTGGCATTGCTTGTGTGTGCTTGCCTCCCCTGGCTGCTGGGAGGTAGATCTGATTGCTCCCCAGGCAGAGGTTCACGGGGGTGCCTGGTGCCTTGTTTGCCACTGACCCCAGAAGGCTGTTGTGGTCCCCTGTTGCTGGACAAGGCTATGTGGGAGACATTCTAGGCTCAGAGGGTGCGTGGGGTGCGGTCTTGTGCTGAGTCACTGCTCCAGAGCCCCAGAGACAGGGGTGCAAAGCTCTGGAGGTGGCTGCTTGTGTGAGCCAGCTCTTCCTTTCATCAGAGGGCACTGCAGCAGGGGTGAGCTGCAGGTGAAGGCTGGTGGTCTCACCCACCCTCGCATCTCGGAAGGCCGGGCCTTGGCAGTCTCCCTGAACTAAAGGCAATCAGGTGTTCTGCATTCTGCAAGTAAGTTTTTAGTCCCTGTCCTCTTTCTGCCTTTGCTGGGGAGTTGGTTGCATTTGACAACACACACACCGTTCTCCCAGGGAAGAGCAGAGAACAGGATAATTGGACAAGGTGACAAGCCAGCTGTTTTGTTCCCTGTGCAGGTGCATTGGCCATCAGGTCAATTCTGGAGCAGCTTGCCTGGCTCTGAGGGGACAGGGAGTGCAGACACTCCAGAGAGTGGGCCCCAGCCGACCTCCTCCCACGTGGAGTCGGGTAGTTGGGTCGTTGCAGCTTATGCTGTCAGTTCAGATCTGCACTGTGACTGTACGAGGTCACATCAGAAGCGGGACTGGCTGTCTTCCATGCCAGAACTGGTTTTAACTATTTTTTTTTTTTTTTAAATACTGCAAAAACTAAAAAGTTAGCCAACATTCACTTGGCTTTTCAGCATTTTGGGCCATTGGAAAAGTTACTCCCTTATAGTTGGTGTGATTCCTCAGAAGTTATCATCTTACTGGTCGATTTTAGTCTTGGTGATTGTTAGGTCCTGTGGTGGCTTCAAGGAGATCTTCCCAGAGAGAGGTGATACTTAATGGTTTCTGCTCTGACTTCTTTTCAACTTAACATACTTGGCTTCAGTATTTTGGTTAAAGAAAGTATCTTCTAGTTTGTGGTTGTTTAAGCAAGTGTGACTTGAAAGTAAAATAAGAGAAGTTTAATTATTGGCAAATCAATGACAAGTTGTTTTTTTTTCCTTTCTAGTTTTATATGGGAAGCTGTTGATACCAAAAATAGCATACTTTATAAAATCAGCATCTGTGGAAATGTGGACATCGGTCAGTGTGGGCCGTCCAGTGCTGTTTGTATGTACGACTTGAAGACTGGCACCTACCGCTCAGTGGGTAAGTATAAGCGACTGCAAGATGCTCTGGTGGCAGGACATCAGTTCACAGATGGCTTCATGTTGAGGGCAGTGTGATATAGCTGGGTCCACAACTGAGTATTTTATAGTACTTTCATTGTATGTTTTATAATAGTTAAAGTGCCAGTTTGAATGTCCCTATGAGATGATAAGATTAGGTTCCCTCCGTCTAGTGGATCGTATGAAAACAGCAGTTGGGGAGAATTATGCAGATGTGTATTTAATGCAGAAAGATGCTTCCTGCAGGGCTCTCCCTTCCCACCCACGTTCTTCTTGCGCCATCTCCACTTGCCCCCGTGCGTCCGTCCGGTTCCTGTCGTCCAGCCCCCTCCCCTGAGCCCTTCGTCCTTCTTCTCTGGTGTCTGATTCTTGGGTGGTGCGTCCTCCCGGTCAGAGACCAGTTGCTGGCCTTAGGCTTACACGAAAAATTGAATAGTCCTGAGGAGTGGTGATCTCGGAGGGGAAAGTGCCACCTTTCCTTTCTTGGGCTCATGTCATTTCCCCAAATTACTTTTCGGGTCAGGATCCCTTTCCTGTTGAGGGTTGTGGGTCCCCGTGGATCGACAACTCTGCCAGGTCACATGGAGCGGGGTCATGGCAGATGCCCATAGGAGGGGACACAGTGTGGTCTCCGAGGTGACTTTTGACCAGGGCAGTTCAGATGACAGTGCTGTTCTGTCATGAGGAACAGTGGTGGAGTGGAGACTGTGGTGTCTTGAGCAGGGTCCAGCAGTAGTCAGAAGAGGGTGCTGGGCGCTGTTTGGGTCTGGGGTGAGGGCTTACTGTGGCTGTCTGTCATGTTGAATGGAGATTCCTGCACACAGTTAAAGGGTGTTTTAGAAAGTGGTGTTAAGAGATGCAGATAAAGAGGTGCAGGTCTCCTGGGAGGGCCGACTGTTCCATTTCCCTCAGCTGAGGCCCGGGATGGACAGTGAGCAAGACCTGGTTGTGCTGGGTTCCCGGGTCAGACCAGTTGTGTGACTTGGTGATCTGTGTAGACAACTTGGGGGAAGATTGCCCGTTTCCTCATTGGGATCTTTTGATGATTCAGAGAGACCACGAGTGAGCCTGTTGGCCAGTGGTGTTTAGGTTTCAGAAAGGGGAAAATGTAGTTTTACTCTTGACTTTGTTTATAATACCAGCGTATGATGTTTTTGGCTAATGGAAGTGTGTCTGGCAGTTGGGGGCAGCGAAGTGCAGTGTAATATACCATGCCTGACACAGGTGCAGAAAGGCCACCAGGAGGATGCTTGTGAGATGGGCGTTGCTGGAAAAATCAGAGACCAGGTTCTGTAGGATGTGAAAGGCAGGAAGGAGGTGGTAGTTTCTGGAAGGTGTTGGATCCTTTATAGATTCTTGGTGATAGTGATGGAGAGGTGATTTTACGGGGGGGTAGTTTGCTCAAGGGAGAGACCCAGGCAGCTAGATGAGTCAAGTCTAAGTTATGGTTTAGGCTCATGATTTGAATCAGCAGTTTCTAGGGTCCTTTTTCACCTGTGGACACACACGACAGATACCTTTTTCGGAGCCTCAGACCCCCTGAGAGAGTGAGGACATGTACCTTTAGCCCAGAGGTAATTGCTCCTTTTCTTCAGCTAGGGAAAGCAAATCACATTCATGAATGAGAGTGACGTTGATGTTAGCATAGGGGTAATCTGAATAAATGTGATTTTACTAATTGGAGTGTACAATAAAAACAACATTTGTTTGCATTTAGGTGTCAGGTCTCATGTGTTTAAATAAAACATTTCATTTATTCAGCAGCCTTTTGAAATAAGTGATTTCATATCCCTCATCTTATAAATGAAGATACTAGAGCCTAAAGTAGATAGACAACTTGCCACATGTTATGCACTGATGGCTGTGAGTACTGACAGGCCACCCTGGGGCTGGGGTGCTTACTCAGGGCTGTGTCCCAGAGTTCTGGTTTGCACTAGACAGGTAACAACTAGAATGGGAATGGGGGGAGGTATGCACTACCCTGAGGGGCAGCGAGAGACTAACTTATGATTTTGCTAGAAAGCAAAAAAGGTGAACTTTCCAAACAGCCACAAAAGCTGGCTCCACAGTAGGTCAAGAGGAGCTGTGCCTGGCACGGTGGCACAGCCTGAAACCCCGTGAGGGAAGGAAGGAAGCCTGTGTTCACCTGGCCCCGCCCAGGTCCATGCCCTGTCCCAAGCCCGCCCACCACCCTGCCACTGCCTCAGCTCTGGAAGCCTCGACAGGATGGGCTGTGTGCTGTTTGCATGAGCTGGTCAGGAAAAATATTCTGCAAAAGACACTGGGTATTCAGGCAGAGAAGGACGTCGGGCAGACCTTTGCACTGATGGAGGCACAAGAAAGAACCGCCGTATTGTGAGCCCCTTGCTGTGGGCTTTCCTAAGAGGTTGACCTCTTGCTCACTGGCATCTGATTTCACCCTCTGCCCTCTCCCGCTTGCCTCCCCAGGGCCTCATTCAGGTGAATGAGGGGTTAAACCAGCTCTAATCTGAGTTCATGTCATGTTCATTGTTAATCTAGGGAGGAACCTTGACCTTTTCCTTCTTGAAAATCAGGTTGTTTTGTATAATACAGTGAAACCCATCTCTAACAAAAGGAGGATCTTGACAGCAGCCATCATCTGCTCCCCCTCCACACTTCCCTGTTTCTCTGTTGGGAATAGTCATTAGTTCACATCCTGTATTTAGACGACTTTATTGCTATGTACTGCATCCAAGAATTTTTTACTCTTATTTCTAGAAAAACCAGGTACGTACGTTATTAATGTTATTTAAAACTATACCTTTTTGCTATGCATGACTTTTTGGGACTTATGATAATAGTGTGTTGCCAAGATATCCCTGGTGTTCACTGTGGCCTGCCACTTCTTACTGCTGCAGTATTTTGTAGTGTGTGTCTACAACAGCGCACTTCCCCACTCTTCTCCTCAGGAGCCTCTGGGTTGTTTCCAGGTTTTGACTGTCGTGAAGAGCAGTAGATAATCTTTCACGTTTCTTGTTACAGATAGTTATGTAAGCATGACATTCCTTTGTGTGTATGCATACCCTAGACTGTTATAGCTCAGCCATGGTACAAGAGCATCCAATCTTAGGACAAATTGTCCTGCTAACTAAATAATGGTCGTACTAATTTACATTTCCACCAGCAACATAGGAGAGCCCTGGATCATCGTACTTTCAGCTCAGTGTTTAATTTTTGCTAACCAGGTAGCTGTAAACGATATATCATGTGGCCTGATTTGTAGTTACTTGGTGGCCAGTGGTACAGAACTCCCCTTCCTATCTATTGATGGACGGTTCTTTTATGTCAGATAGTGTCCTGTCCATTTTACATTGGTTGTTCTCTGTCTTTTCTCTCTGGAAGCTTAGACTTTTCTTTGCCTTTGATGTCAGAACTCACTGTGACTAGACAGTGGCTTTCCCTTTTCTCTCCTCCTTGGTGTGCTCTCAGCTATAGGTAATTCATCGTGTATTTTCTTAAATTATTAAAAAATAATTGTGTGTGATTGTAGGTGATATTATTTATTTATTTATTTTTGATACCGGGGGTTGAACCCAGGGGTGCTTAACCACTGAGCAACATCCCCAGCCCTTTTTTACCTTTTATTTTGAGATCAGGTCTCATGAAGTTCTTTAGGGCCTTGCTGAATTGCTGAAGATGGCTTTGAACTTGAAGCTCTTTCTCAGCTTCCTGAGTCCCTGGGATTACAGGCGTGTGCCACAGTGCCTGGCTATATCTGGATGTTCTTGATGTTAGTTCTTTGCCAGTTCTGTGGATCTTCTAGTTTATAACTTATTTGGTTCCTTTAGGTTAGTTTTTGGTTAAATTTCCTAAGAGTTAATTTTGCCTATACTCTTAAGAAATCTTTGCCCACATTAAGACATGAAAGGTATTTTCTACGGTTTTTAAAGTCTGATTTTTAATGTTTTTCAATCCATTGATAGTTGGTTTTTGTATACATTGGTAAGCAGGGATCCGGTTTTGTCTCTGTCTTGTGGATGACCATTTTGTTTCCAGGGCCATTTATTGAGTAGCCCCCCACTTCCCTCTGCAGGACTTCCTCCTAATAAAAGTTTGATATACAGGTGTGTCTCTGTGCTCTTTAGTCTGTTGGCCTCTTTTCTAGTCTGTTGGTCAGTTTACATATTCCTGTACCAACCCTGATTTTATGTAGTTTATTCTGAATTATTACAGCAATGTCCCAGACAAACCCAGACACAGTCACCCTACTTACAGGCCTTTCTAAAAAATTGTCCTTTCTAAAATGCATGAGCATTGAGAAGCATTAAAGGATTTGAGTTATACATTTTGATTTGTGTTTTTGAAGATAACATTGGTCGAAGATGAATGGGGAAGGGTGATGGTGAGGGACAAGATAATGGTGGAGGCCCGGGGACCAATTAGGCTGTGGCACGAGGTGGTAGAGTTGGAGAGATGTGGATGGGTTTGAAGTGAGGGACAAGCAGCTGAACTTTCTGATGTCCGAAGGTAGTAGAGGCTGGAAAGACAGGAGTCAGGTTGTGTCTGGGCCTGAACGCCTAGCTGGGGTGGGATGCCATTCCTGAGGTGGAGAATTCTGGGCAGGGATGATTTTGCAGGTTTATGAGGTTTCAGATAAATGGTAGTGCCGCCTTCAATTTGCTTCTTCTTGGAAATAGCTTTGTGGTTATGTGTGTTTTATAGCCTGCTCATTCTCTTTCCTCTCCAAATAGGCGACTCTCTTTTGAAAAGTGCAACCAGGTCACTTCTGGAATTCAACACGACCCACAGCTGTGATCAGCAAGGCACAGGCCACAGAATCCAGAGCAGCATCACCTTCCTGTGTGGGAAAACCCTGGTGAGTGGGAGGTCAGGCTGAGGGAAACTGCCAAGGCATTTCTAAGTGTCGTTTTAGGATTTAAAGCTATGACTGCTGCATCTGCAGGCCCATGAGCTCTCACCTGAAGACCTCTGAAAACAGAACCAGTGCTGTTCACTTTGGATCAGCCTGTCGGCTGCACTGTTACTCACACTGAGACCTGAAAAGAATCTGTTAGCAGCAGTATGAACTGGGAAGGTTTATGTTACAGAGTAAGCCTCTGCTCTTTAGTTTCCCTTAAGAATCCCGTGTTCACGGAGCAAGAATCAGAATTGTGAAGAGCGCTTTGGTTTACATGTGGGCTGTCAAGGTTAATCTCTCCTGAGTGGCATGTCACACGGGTGTCATGGTTGGCCAGTCTGGAGTCAGCGCTGGTCAGTCTGGCAGGAGGAGCTGGTCAGAGATGGGAGTCTGTGGGTGTTCTGACTGTGTCAGGAGGCTCCTCACAGGAGCCTTTTCTAGGAAGCATGAGGTCACGCTTTCCGCCTGATTTTGCTGGCATTTGGTTCAGGGCTCGTTTGGAGTTTGGGAGTAGAAGACCCCGAGGACCGTGTCCCAGGAGCTTGCTGTGCTTACGTGGTGGGGCAGTGGAGCAGTTCTGGACTGGTTACACTCAGATTCGAGCAGAATTTCAGGAAGCTTTTGTCTCCAAATTTCTCCATGTGGGAACTTCTTGATGACCTAGTTTGACTAAAGCTGTTGTGTCCCCTGTCTTCTTCTGTATTGCTAGTAGCCTTTACTGTGTTCTCCCTTTTAAAAAGAAACTTTATATAGTACGGTAACAATTTTTTTCTTTTTTTTAAATAGGGAACTCCTGAATTTGTGACTGCCACAGAGTGTGTGCATTACTTTGAGTGGAGGACCACTGCAGCCTGCAAGAAGGACATCTTTAAAGCTAATAAAGAGGTAACAGAATTTAAGATCAATGATTGTGAAGTCTCTTCTGGGGACCTTTAGGATTTGAAATACTGATCCCAACCTTTTGGGGTGAGAAAATCTTTTTTTTTTTTATTTTTTTTAGTTTTCAAACTGCATTTGAATAGAGATACCGTGTGATTTAATTGTAAAGACTTTTCTGAGTGGTTCTTATTTTTAGGATAGGACATTTAAAATGTCATGGATTGTGATGTTTTGGTCTAGATTGGAACTAGACCGACTCACCCATATAAGGCAACTTAGTTCCTAGTTTTTGGAGCTGTGTAATGAAGTAAGCTATGCCACATGGACTGGGTTAAATTATTTACTCTTCCCACAGGAGCCTTGCTAACAGCTTGTCCTGTTGAGATAACTGATTCTTCTCATACTTTTCTGTTAGTGTTTTTTTCCTTTTTGGTGCTGGGGATTGAACCCAGGGGTGCTTTACCACTGAGCTCCGTCAGACTCAATGTTATTTTTTGTTTTGGGGCAGGGTCTTGATAAGTTGCCCGGGCTGGCCTTCAACTTAGAATCTTTCTGCCTTAGTCTCCTGTCACCAGGATGACAGGTGTGCACTGCTGCACCTGGCTAGCTTTTTGTTCTCAAGGATCAAAGACTGTTGAGAGCTGGTCACTTGCAGATGGCTTGATCAGTACTTTTTACTGGCAGCCTAATATCACAGAGTTTAAGAAAGGGCAAAAAGAGATGTCTGTTTTTTAAAAATTCAAGTGACAAATAATAGATCATCACTGATTTTTCAGTTAAAACCATCTGTTGAAGAAGACAGTGACGTGGAGGAGGCCTCCAGAAGAGAGCCTAAAGCGTGCTCAGTGAGAAAATGTTAAAGTGGATTAAGGGTGATATTTGGGAGGCTTAAACTTCATTAAAGTTTTAAAACTTAAGCTGTTGGACAGTACTCCGTCGGTGGCAGGAGAATCATCTCAAAGCTGAAAGCCACTTGGGGGTGGTCATCAGAAAGCATCCAGTTGGCTGGCCCTGTCTGCTTTCCCACGAGGCCCTAGCCCTCTTTTGGCCCCACAGACGGTCTCGACGGCTGGGATGCCCGTGGAGCCCATGGTGGTGTTCTTCTGAGTGCCCCCTTACCCTGCCTTGCCAAGCTGACTGTGTGTTTCTTTGCCTGTGAAACAGTTACTTTCCAAACAACCATGCTCTAGCTCACCGGCCGAGCAAGAATTTTCTTTTACATTTTTATAGGGTTTTGAAAAAAAAAAAAAAGAATATGTGATGGCGATCTGTGTCACCCACAGAGCCTGAGATATACCCTGTGGCCCTTGGCGGGAAGAGTGTGCTGGTCTCTGTGCTGAGTAGTTTTGCAGGTAGGCTGCGGGGGTGCAGTCTGTGTTTTTGTCAGTGCCCTTTAATTTCTGTCAGTCCACATGAAGACCTGAGAGAAACAATTGTAGTTCTCAGTTGTCCGTAGGTGTGGGTGGCCACTGGGGCCTTCCTCATTTGGCTTTCGTCGTTGAGAGCCCGTCGTGGACGGAGCAGTCAGAATTCTGTTAGGTTTGCAGGTGGTTCTTGCTTTTAGGGAGCCTGTGAGCTCATGGTGCAGAGACCTGCCCTCCTGGCTCACCTGTTTCTGCTGTAGGGGTGGCTTTATTAGATGCGAAGACTGGAGAACACAGTGACTGCTGAAAGTGTCCCACTGTCCCCCGTAGCAGATCTTAATAAAGCTCGTGCCCTCTGTCCTGACTTCACTGTGATAATGACTACCCCTTTTATGGTGTGATAACCTTAAAAGGCAGAGGCTTATGTGCATGTAAAACATTCACCATCCTTCAGAACATCTCCGTCTGGTTTAGTGTCCCAGTCGTCCATCTCCAGTCTGTTGGCGGCTCGCAGTCTTTGTGAGTTTTGCTCTGTCACTTGCAGAGGGAGCTGACGGGCCTTCTTATGGGAGTCCCAAACAGCCCTTTAGAACTGCATGTACTGTAACGCTTGCTCAGCGGATCCTGGGAGTGGTTTTTAAGATAATGATTCCCTTAAAACAACTGAATATGTACGTCCCCTACGCTAACACCCTCGGAGGCATAAATTGCAGCACTAGCATCTCAGAGTTCTCGCTAGTTTTATAAGTAAGATCAAGAGGCGTGGAACAGTGCCGGCCACGGTGTCACAGTGGGGTTGAAGCCGGCAAACAGCCTCTCCCAGGCTGGGACATTCTGGCCTTCTGAATGTCCCCTTGGCCGTTTACAGTGAGGTAAGAAGTGGGAGCGACCCAGTAGCCTCGGTGTCCGGCTAGTCCCTCAACCTCTGGGAGAGTGAGACAGCCTGAAGTTGCTGGCTGCCCTGAGTGGGGGTCCGCAGCTCTTCCGACTCAGACTCCTCCAAGAGTTGTGGTGAAATCTAGTCTCAGAACAAGGGATTCTTCCCAGGGTGGCCCCTGTCTTGCGTTCTTGCCACATGCCGCCTTGCTCCCTTGACTCATAGAGGTTCCGTTCGGCTGCCTGGAGAGTTATTTCTTGTCTCCTGCACTATCCAGCCAGCCCACTCACTCTCCTTGGCAGTGAATGTTTTTGTATGACCTTGCTGTTGGTTGACAAGCTTTAGATTTGCCGGACTGGGGACATGTGTGGTTGCTTTTTCCTCTAACTCAGTTGTAATTGTCAGTAGTAACCTTTTCTTTTGCCTTTCTGGGGGATTAAGCCGTCGGCTGGTCAGGGCTTGTGTGCCTGCTTACTTCCAGCTGGGGTTGGAGAGGCCTCCTGCCTCCTCCCACCACAGCCTTTATCAACGGACTCCTTCTGTCTGAGGAGCCTGTCAGGTGGGAGATTTTACCCTAGGGATCTGGTTGGCGGAGTCCCGTGCCCCGAGGCTGTGTGGAGGTGTAAGTTGTTGGATACACTCCCTTAGCTGTCCATGAAATCTCTGGAATCTGGCCTGCCAGGGGAAGGTCAGTGGTCTAAAGCTTTCCTGCAGGTTTGATAGCATCTTTCTAGGAAAACTTGAAAGGTAAATATTAAGCAGTTAGCTTTTGTACTTAGACCTGCTTGTGAATTGCATCAGTCTGAAGATAAGATTTATCCATGGAAAGTTAACAAAGCGAAATACTCTGAGATGATCACAGAGCACTGAGAACATGGATTTTTAGAATATTCTTTGGGACAATTAAAATGATGCCAGTGGGGCTGGGGATGTGGCTCAAGCGGTAGCACGCTCGCCTGGCATGTGTGCGGCCCGGGTTCGATCCTCAGCACCACGTACAAACAAAGATGTTGTGTCCGCCGAAAACTAAAAAATAAATATGAAAAAAAAAACACACACACACTCTCTCTTTTTAAAATAAATAAATAAATAAATAAAATAAAATGATTCCAGTGTATTATTTTGAAAATAAAACTTCTGAGAGTATTTCAAAATGAAGTCTTGACAGTGGACAGTGGATGGTGTTCCCTTAGTGACTGGGCCTTTTTTACTCCTGGCTGCATCTCTGGGCTTGCATGCTTTGCTTCAGAGTGACAGAACACTTAAAGCACAGGGTCTGCCAACTGTAATGGGTTCCTTGACATTTTAAAAATAAAAAGCCATTAATTCACGGAGCTGAGAGTGTGGTAATAAATCTAGAATTGAGTAAGGGTAACTGAAGACTCCCGGGAGGAGCTGAGCTGCATATTTCATTGAGCAGACGTTGGCACAGCTCCTGTTGTGTTTTTGGCATCGTCCCGAGCTAGGTGAGGGTCACTGCCGGAGACAGAGGCTGCCTTCAAGGAACCCACATTCTGTGGGAGGAAGCCGCCAGGTCAGCAGACAGCAAGCAGTATCTGGTACCACGCGCCTCTGCGCCGTGAAGAATGAGCCTGAGTGAACCAATGGAGGTGGAGCTCCACGCTTCAGATACAGGTTTCCGAAAAGGCCTTGCTAGGTGGCGCCATTACTCACGAGTGAATGAAGTGAGAGGGAGAGCAGGTCAGCGTCTGCTTCCAGGGCCACCAGGAGGCTTGTGTGGTGTGTGCAGAGAGAGGAGGGCCGTTGAGGAGTTTCGGATTTCATCCTCTGTGTAATGGGAAGCTACTTGGAGCAAGGAGTGATGTGGCCTGATGTCCCTCTGAAAGATTGATACCGTTAAGGGGACCTGGCCTGGGGCCTGGGGCGCATCAAAGCCAGAAGCTGGGGAGCAGTTAAGAGACGCTTGCCGGCAGGAGACCTGGTGTCTGTACAGGGTGGTGATGGTGGTGGTGGAGGTGGAGAGAGAGCTAGATCCAGGGCTTAGTTTGAAGGTGGAACTGGCAGAACTTGCCAGTGGTTGGATTGAGAATGTGAGAGGAAGCAAGGGGTGGGTGTGGTTCAGTTTTGGCCTGGACAGCTGGCTTAGTGACTGTCCCATTTACTGGGACCATTGGGGTAAGAGCATGTGTGGGGAGATATCCAAGCCCCATTTTAAATACGTGGAGTTTCAAACGCATGTGTGCGTCCTGGGCCATCGGGGAGGATGCAGGCACTTGTTCAGACTCACAGGTGCTGCAGCAGCAGCTGCACGTGCAGTGACTCGGCCAGGCCTTGCAGTAGCCCCGTGGACAGTCTCTTGTTCCCATGTGATATGTGGGGAAACCGAGGCACAGAGGTCGGTTCGCACCTGGTCATACTGTCAGCATCAGGGTTGAACCTGAGCGTTCTTGGGTCTGTGCTTAGAAACTCGGCATCTCTTGTGGGCTCCATAAATCAGGAGAAGTGGGAGAGGCATAGTCTGGGGTCATCTGCAGGTGTGTAGAGCCATTCAGGGGGACACCAAGAGGGTGAGCATACACAGGGACGACGAGGTCAGATACACAGCTGTGGAGCACCTTTGTTTAGACCTGTGTCGGAGGACCCTGAGGAATGTCTCAGGAGGCCGAGAGGTGGGGCAGAAGGAGGCCAGGTGCCTCTTGGTGTCCAGGAAGCAAAAGACAGAAACAGCTTTCGGGGGTGGCCGGGGCTGGTAGCGCTGCTTGCCGTTGAAGGGGAGTGAGGGGACTCAGAAACAGCGTCAGGTGCGGCAGCAGGGGAGGGGCGTGCCTGGGCAGGCGTGATGCCATCGCTGCGGGAAGCACCTCCGTGATGGTGTTCAGGAGAGAGCGGAGGTGGTGAACAGGGACATCCAGGAATTCTGCTAAAATTTCAGAAGCAGATGGGAGCTGAGCGGGAAAGAGACAGGGAGGACGCCCATGGTGGGCATCATAGCCTGCTGAGTGGTGACCCATGGGGGAGGGACAGCGGTTGATGCCCTTGAGGAGAGGTGCAGAAGTGCACCTCTGGGTTGGTGGGAAGGATACGGGACAGTAGAGAGGACTGGGCCACCGTCCGCCTTTGCTCTGTCCCCCTTTTCCTCAAGGGTGGTTGTGGCCTGATAGCCTCAGGAATGGAGACCAGTGTTGTGTGACACAATCATAGGTTTGCCTGATACAGTCCCCAGGCGTGTGCTGACCCCAGTTTCATACTGACCCCTCTCCTCTCTTCCAGGTGCCGTGCTATGTGTTTGACAAAGAGTTAAAGAAGCATGATTTAAATCCGCTCATCAAGATAAGTGGTGGCTACTTGGTGGACGACTCTGATCCGGACACTTCTCTATTCATCAATGTCTGTAGGGACATAGGTGAGAATCTCAGTGGGTGTGAGGGGCTGGTGGTTGAGATTACCTGAAAGGCTGTACCTCCTTTGTTCCAAGTTGGACATGGTGTCACCAGCTAGGCCCTGCAAGAGAGCTCTCCTCCCATCTGTGTTCTCTTGGCCAGCCCCACCGCGTGTCCCCAGAGAGCACTGCCCCCGGGTCTGTCCAGGCTGTAGCCTTGATCTGCTCTTCTCTCTGCCACACTTTACACCGAGGGAGTGTTGGTTAGCCTGCCGGGTGTGCCCAGGTCCCGTGGCTTTGAGTGGCACGCTTGGTAAAAGGGACCATGGGGTGACAAATACTTTGGCCACTTGATCCTGAGGTGTGTTGGGGCTCTGGCTTCTTTGTAGTGTCAGAATGAGTGTGAGGAGCGTGGTGTCTTTACCAAGTTACCTGAAGCCTGTGCGTAGATGGCCTGTGTCTGACGAGGGCCTGGACTTTGACTGAGCCTGAGAGGCAGCCGTGCACTGCCTGCTCCGTGTCCCTCGGGCTGAGTTGAGGTCCACAGGCCAATGGGGTCTTTCCATAGTGTCACCAGTGATAGTGCTGAGTAAACTTTTCTGGTGATTAAGTAATATAAAGGTCATTTTTAGTGTTTTCTTCATGCTTATATTTCTCACATAGTATATAAGACTGCCTCAGAAAAGTTGGGGAAATTGTTTGCTGATGGATGGACGTTCTGCGTAAGTGTGCTAGTAACTGCAGTTTAGTTATGAAGTTGAAGAGTCTCATTATCATCAACTTCTGAATAATATGCTGTTTTAATTTGGAAAATACTTGAATTTATGGTCTTTTATCCTATAAAGGTTTATCTGAATTCAGTGGATATTTTATTATAAAAGTCATCTTTTTCTGATTTACTGGCAGTTTGGGTTGAACTTCAGCAACTTTGGAACCAAACAGCTTACCCCCCCC